TTTATTGCAACAAGAGATTTGCCAAACTACTTAAGACATTTGGGAAGATTATAGTGAAGTACATTAGTTGCTGACTTGACAATTTGCTATGCTCACTGCTTGTATATTGGATTCTTGATATTCATGCTGAGAGTTGATCCAACTTTCTAGTACATTTTAGCAATAGATCTGCCAAATGTCTACTGGCTTATTAAATGCTGGCAAACCAAAGGTCGGCCTTGTTTATAAGCCAGAGCAAAGCTGCTGCGGATGGCACACTAGCCTTCCTCATGGCATTTTCCTGTTTAAATTCAAAATTCCAGCACAGGATTGGATAGGGACTGGTTTGGACTAGTTTTGGCTTGGAGTTTCTCTAGGTCTGCCTGCACGTCCCCTGTCTGTGAACCTGGGGTCTGCAGAGCAGAGAGTTCTGGTTCCTCTGAGCCGTGTTTCTTCCTTGCTTCATCTCATGATCACCACACCTGCGTGGTCCCATTTGTAGAGGTATGGGCCAGAATGTACCTCCCTGGTGCAGCCCCGATGAGCAGTCAGACTCCTCAGAGGGATCTGCCGTGGAGGGAAAGCCTGCCCTTCCTTCACAGCTGACCTCTTCTTCCTTTCTGGGAGCTCAGCTCTTCCGCCTGGCAGCTGCCAGGGTGAAAAGGGTTGTAGATGGGAAACTCTGCTGCACCTTGTGCCTGATGCCAGTCCCTGTGCCTGGACTCGATCATCTGTAAGGTCCTTTCCAACCTAGACAATTCTATGAGTCTATGATCTAGGTGAACCTGCTTTGGGAGGGGGGTTGGGCTAGGTGATCTCCAAAGGTCCCTTCCAATCCTCTGACATTCTGTCATTCTGTGTTCCAAAGCTGTCTGTGTCCATGGGAAACTTTCCATTGGTGCCTCTGGACTTCCCATCAGACTTTGCCTAACTGCGCCCAAAGTGGCAGTCCTGCTCTGCTCACCGTTACTGCTTTTGATATCAATCCAGTTTTACATGACTGAAGATTATCCTGGTACAATATGCAAGTTTCCCTGTAAAGGCTAACCCTTGCCCTCCTTTGCCAAAACAAACATTCCTACAAAGGCCGCGGAATCACTCTCACAGTCAATAAAATTTACTTCCATATCATGCTATACGGAACACATTGCCTCAACATCTTTTACATCTTTATTATATGTATTTATTATATGTATTTGATTGACATGCAGAACTAACAGAAAATTTTTTCCCCGACCCTGTGCGTAAACCTGTTTACAAATATGTTAGGTAGGCATGTATTAAAAAAAAAAAATCAAACAATTAAACACCTGTTTAAAACACAAACATGAAAATTAAAATTGCTTGTTTAAAACATTTAAGGTACAACCTGTTTAGAAAGGTCTGTGTCACGGGATAAAAATGTTATTCAGGTATACCTTACTGTAAGTGCTGTTTACAAGAGACAGAGGGACTCTGATGTAGGGAAAAAAAAAAATAAATCCACATTTTTATGAAAGAAAGCTGCAAAAGAAATCAAGGTTTTTACTAGTTGGATAATAACGGAAAAGGTGATTCTTCCTTTTATTATTATTTAGCTATTTTTTTGTCCCCATGATTGAGATCACCTGGGAAATCCCAACGTCTTGGCTGGAGCAGAGACACGGTAGCTCTACGTTCCGCGGGGGAGAAGCCTGTCTTGCAGGGCCCGGAGCCTGGGCCGAAGCCTGCCGTTACGAGTCCCCGACACCGTGGCCCCGGGGGTGGCAGCTCGACGGCGCGGCGGGACTCCCGGCACCGGCACCGACAGCCCTGGCCGAGGAAAGGAGTGGGAGCCGGCGGGCGGGGGGAACATCTCTGACTAAACAAGCGGCGGGGATCTCCCGCGTTTGGCAATGTAATCTGCTCCCGACGGCGCGGGGAGAGGGCAAGATCAAAGCATTCCTGGCGGGGAAATTGCACCCGGGGTTGCCGTTTGGTTAGCCTGCCCTAACCTCGCTAATAAATTTCCCGGGAGGAAGGGAGGGCTGGGGAGGCGAGGAGCGGGGGAACGGCGGCACCTGCACCTGCCCGCCCGCCGTCCCCGCCGCACGGGAAGGGGATGCAAAGCAGGGCCCGCCGCCGGGCACCGGCCCCGCCGCCGCCGGCTGTCAAGGGAGACCTGCGTACGGTCTTCTCAATGCCCCGGAGCCGCTCTTCCCCTCCGCGTTTCACCGGCCAGGAGGCCGTCGCCGCCCGCGCGGCCCGAGGAGTCAGCGGCCGGGGCCGGGCACATCGGCACCCCGCTACCGGGGGGCGACCCCCGTGGCATTGGGCGGGGGAGGGGAAGGCGGGGGCGAGGCCCTGCGGGGGGCGACCCTGAAGGAGGCCGAGAGCAAACGGGCAGAGGGACCCGCAGGGATGGGGGATAGGGGACGGTGGGGCGTCCAGCCGGGAGCGTTGTAGCGGGGCAGGTGGATGCGCGGTTACACCCTGCGGGCTTCCACCCTTTCCTTGCGCGGAAATCGGTGCCTTTCCCGGCACGGCGCTGCCATCTGCCCCCGCCAGCGAGCAGCGGCACGGCTGCCTCCGACGGCCCGCGGCGGGGTGTCTGTGCGGGAGCGGGGATCCCCGCGGCACACGAGTGGGAGCGGCGGGCCCGGAGACCGCGGTCCGCCTTCCCCTCCCGCCGCCCGACGGCAGGGGCACCTCTCCCCGCCGGGGGAAAAGGGGAGAGGGGCTGGACGGAGGGTAGCGCGGACGCGCCGCGGAGCCCAGCGCAAAACGAGAGGAGAGGAAGAAAGTTACACAAACACGCCTGAAAATCGTGGCTGGGTTTCACAGTTCCCTGTGGATAAAGTAAACAGGAGGCGAACTGTTTTGTAATTTACTCCAGCGGCCCGCAGAATCGTACTTTGTAATTTGGTGTCGGTTTACAAGCAAAGGGGACTTCTGTTTCCTAACCTAGCAGGTCCTTTGTCATGCCTGTGCCTTTTAAGAGGGACCCCAAGGGGAAAAGTGGAATTCCTTGGGTATTTGCCTTTTAGTCATGCTTGTAAGTCAAACAGTAGCCAAGGCTCTTTTGGGGGGATGAATAATACCTGCCGTCGGGGGATGCGCTCCCCGCTCCCCCGGCGTGAGCGCTGGGCGGCGGTGCGGCCCGAGGGGGACAAAAACGCTTTTTCGGGACGAACGCTGGCTCCCTCCCCGCAGGTGCCCCGCAGCCCACGCCCGCCCCGTCGCCCGCCCGCCGGGCTGCGGGAGCAGCAGGGTTTTTCCGTGCCGAACCGGCGGCCGGCAGCCGGTCCGTGCGCTCGCCGCGAGTGTGGGTGCCCGTGTTTATTATACACAGGAACATTATCAGTATTTATTATACACACGCGCTGCTCAGGGAAAGAGCGCAAAACATTTGTCCTTGCCGGAGAATAGTTTCGGCCGCGTGTTCCACTTATCGTTAGTTTTTGATCAGCACACGGGCGGGGAACTGATGCTCTCCCGCATGCCTCCCTTCTGTCTTTTTTTTTCTGGGGATACCCCGCTTAAATTCGCTAGCTCTTCTCCTGCCCCGGGCTGTATTGTGTCCGCTTCTGCCCGGTGGGAATTCCCATCTCCACGGACGGAAGCCCCGAGCTCAAACGCCCCTCTGGCACGGCCGAGACGTTGTGTTACAATGTCGATCGCTCCCTGTTTTGGGAACCCAGGGGCATTTCCCAATTTCCGAACAGCAGTCTCCGTCAGGGAGACGGTTACTCGACAGCGCGGTGCTGGGTGGAAAACGCCTCTGAAGGCGGAGGGAATGCTAAAAAAAATATAAACGAACATTTTCCCGTGCCTTCGTTCCCGAGTGGGCATAAAGACAACCCCGATTCCGTTGCATTGTCAGACTCGGGGAAAAAGGAAAAAAAAAACCCAAAGAAAAAAAAAACAAAGAAAAAAGCCATTACCGCAGGTCCCCTCCACCGGCGGGGCGAGCAGCGCCCACCACCGCAAACGAAAAAAGGCAGCGGCTGCTCCAGCCGTTCAAACCCGCACCCACGGTCAGCTCCCCGGTTCGGGGAACGCCGCTCGCCCGTGGGGCTGGTTCCCCAGTGTCACCATCACGCGTGTTACCGTCTTTCCTCCTTATTTCCCCTCCCCCGGCCCTTTTTTTCCACTTAAAATTAAAGACCGCCACGGGCCGCCTGCACCCCCCCGCCCGCACCCCACGCCTGCCCGCACCCACGGGTGAGCAGCGGGCACACACGCGTGGGGGGGTGGGGGGCGGGGCGGCGGCAGCGTGGGCCAATCAGAGCCGCGGCCGCGCGGCGCGGGCCCAATGGGCGGCGCGGGCGGTGGTGGCGGGCGCTAATA